TGGTATTTGAACCTTGGCTGTCTGCTTTCCAGGGTCCCAGGGATGGGCTTTGGGTGTTTAGAGGTATCTGCATCCCTGGATCTCTGTACCTCTGTGCATCAGTTAGCCCAGAAAGGACAGGGAGAAGAGAGTTACACAGGTGCTCACAGTCGTGTCTCAGCCACTGTCCACAGACAGTGCACCTTGATTGGCGTTAAATGTCTTCTGGGCAGCAGATCTGTTTGTATAACAGAAATTTAGTCCATTGAGTTAATCTAGAAACCCTTCCCGCTCCGCTTCTGTCCACGCTTGCCATGTGACTGCCTGCCCGTGATTGGGCCGATGAGGAGAAACTGTACTCATGGTTGAACTCTGATATTTCAGTCTGGTTTGTAGTTTCATATCTCCTGTTACATTAATAAATTAAATTTGTGGGTTTCTTGCATCAGTCTCTCATGAGTTTGGTTAATGTGATACCAGTCCATGGGAGCCCAGGGGGGCTGACGGTATAATTTCTCAGCACATTGTGGCACTTCTACCCGTGCAGACCTGGCTGGAGAATTTCTGCCTTCCTCACTAATTTCCCCCAACAACAGGGTTCTCTCCCACCCCCGGATGTGAGGCTGGGAGCTCTCTGATTTAACCAGTCAGAGGCCATGTCCACCAATTAGAAAATGATGAAGTTCCTGGAAGTGGGTTTAATAGAAGAAAAGGGCTTCCAGGTAGTCCGATGGGCTGTTCGAGTCCGTTTGGTGAAAAGCTGTCCACTGTTTGTGGTTGAGCTGCTGCTTTGCTGTTGAAAAGTCTGGATTTGATGAAGGGAATTTTAAAAAGCAGAAAGGAGTGATTTAAGGTGGTACGTCCACACCGGCGAGAAGTGATGGATGACCGCCTGTGTGAGGCATAGACAGAGTCTTACAAGCTTCATAAAACAGCTTTAAAAGGTCTGCCATCTGAGTGCACTTCATAAGGGGTCCAGTTCATCACTGGTCGCGCTGAGAGGGCAAGTAACTGATGATGGCAGAAAGGACACGGAGGCATCATAAAGGTCTCATTTATGTTCCCTGTTTAAAAGATGTGGCACTATATAATATATTTGAGCTGGTTTTTCACTGAACAGTTTTGAGTGCTTTCTGGGACTCCCCAGTCCCCCAAGTTTG